GACATCTTGAAGAGCTGCTCCGCACACGTGCAGGAAAGCCGAACAGAAACGTTCACTTCCAAACAAAAAGCACTCCAGCAATACTAAATCTTCTGCTCTAGCCCAGTTATCTTGTCCTAAGGAAAATCTTCTGGGGATCTGGCTAGGAAGGACTTGGAGAAAGAACAGAGACTGTGTTATCCTTATGCTATCCGCTCTGCTATCACCGCTGTAAGAGAGGCTGTGTTGTCTGGATTCAGGGTTTCTCAAGGAGACCCTTGGCAAATATGGCACTAGGAGATAACATCCCTTTTCTGACTATCACCCCCACACACTCAGGGACAGTTGTGAAACAGCCCTATGGAAATCCTAGCAAACTGTAGCTGGAGAGAGGAAGGACCTGCATGGAATGCCTGTGTCTGTAGGAGTGACCATGAACAGCAGAGCAGCAACTAAAGGGAAAAAAAACCCCAAACCAACAACAAAACAAAACCAAACAAGCAAAACCAACCAAACAAAAAGAAGTGAGCTCCAGGAGTAGTTATCAAGTCCACAAGGACAACTTCCCTCCTTCTATACTCCTGACATCACTATTCTTTTATGCACCCAGCCACTTTGTAAAGGCAGTCATGCCACAACCATTCCTGCAATTAAATGGAGAAAACCGAATCGTTCTGTAAGACACTGGGAACTCTGCACAGTCTTTGAAGCATTTGTTTGGCCAGTACTCCCAGAAGTGCCACCTTGGTAACTTCTCATCAAAGCTCTTTAAGCTTCCTGTTTGCTCAACTGCCTAAAGATCCCATTCACAGACCTCCACTGGGGAAACTCATGCAAACAGCTACTAAACCCTTCAAAAGCAGACAAAAAGAGACCAGCACATCTTCTTCCCTTCACATCAGGGACATCATCAGCTCTGTTATTGAGCTTCCAGTGCCCAAACTGCTCCCTTTCACGAGGAAAATCCTCCAGTTAAACCCTTCCCAAAGCCAAGGCATGACTGCACATGCAGTATCAACACGTGAAGGGCACGCTGGCTACACATTCAAAAGCTACACATAAGGAAAGGCGGGACATTTAGGTAGACCTGGAGCTCTGCTTCCACCTTCTTGTCCCCCACCAGTCCTCCTGTGACACAGATGCAGTGAAGTTTGGCAGGAGTATATATACACACCCCGTGCCCAGCAATCTTTTGATTTCCTGCAAGCTCCAACTGTCCTGTGTTTAAAAGTGCAGGACAGCAAACCACTTAGACGCCTCCACAAATAAATGTTCTCGGAAGAAGGTTAGATTAAAAATACACTGTAGCAAACATCTCAAAATATGTCTGCTCGGGCAGGTCTGAAAGAGAAGTGGTGCTAGTACATTAAAGTGTTCCTGTTCGCAGGGTAGCTGAAAAATACCTGTTTTATTGCTATTTTGTGGCATTGTGTCTAGAGACAACAGACCAGTCTTACCACTCTGACACTGACTGGACTGCACAGTATCATTCTCAGAGAAATGCTACTTCACTTTTAGATTTTTTTTTTTAGTCTTATTCAAAGTATGAACAATTAGGTTATTTTCTCATCTTAATAAATGATGTAAAACCTCCAGACATATGGTAGCATTTTTATGCTTCTAGGCAAGCAGTGATAACTTTCAAATGTTACTTCCCCTCCTCCTCCTCCACTACATGAAACAAATATACTGGAACCCATTTAAATCTTAGTGACAAACACATTTAAAAGAGACTAATTTTAGTTAAAGTTTCCAAATGTCAGATGTACATGTTAAATAATTATACTAAAAAATAAAGAGCAGATGAGTTCTTATTCTCATCACTGTATGAAAAAGTGCCTATATATTTCCAATAAGGATTACAAAATTTTACGAGACAATGCTTGTGCTTAAATTAGCAAGGAATAAACAAGTGTCAGCTCATGCTTACAGGGACATCTGACAAGTATCACTCATGCTAACTCAACTGCTACAAGATTAGAGGATTGCTGCTGTCTTATTCAGTTTTCTAAGTATCAATCCACAACTGCTTCCCTTTTTCTGGTTTAAGATCCATAGCAGGGCTCAATTTTTGACTAAGGTAATCGTTACGAACTGTCTGTGCACTAAGGGTTAGATTTCTCAGGAGCAGAAGGCCACCAAATCCCTAAATGATGGTATGGCATCACACATATCAAGGCACCTAATTAGGAGGGGCAGCCCCTGGTGGTCTAGTGGTAAAGGCGCCACGCTATCACCGCGGAGACCCGGGTTCGATTCCCGGTCAGGGCCACTCCCGGGCAGGTGGGGCTCGTCAGCCCTTAAAGGCAACCCACCTACGTCCTAAGGACCTCGCTGCCACCGTCCAAGCTCGCTTGGCCCCGGCAGATGAACCTTAGGATTAAAGGGTGGGCTCAGTTCCGCGCACACTGTGTCTCACCTAAAAAAAAATCCAATGCGCAGGCTGGAAGGTGGAAAGACCTTCCCCGGATCTTCGCTCGCGAAGACTGGCCATTATTATTTATTAATTAGGAGGAGAAGTCATCTCCAGGAACGACATGGACCTGCTGCAGCGAGTCCAGAGGAACCCATCAAGATGATCAGAGGGATGGAGCACCTCTCCTATGAGGAAAGGCTGAGAGACTTGGGGTTGTTCAGTCTGGAAAAGAGAAGACTTTGGGGTGACCTAATTGTGGCCTTCCAGTACCTGAAGGGAGCCAACAAGAAAGATGGAGAGAGACTATTTACAAGAGCTTGTAGTGACAGGACAAGGGGAAATGGCTTTAAACTGAAAGAGAGCAGGTTTACACTAAATATTAGGAAGAAATTCTTTACTGAGAGGGTGTTGAGGCCCTGGTACACGTTGCCCAGGGAAGTTGTGGATGCTCCATCCCTGGGAGTGTTCAAGGCCAGGTTGGACGGGGCTCTGAACAACCTGGTCTAGTGAAAAGTGTCCCTACCCATGGCAGGGAGGTTGGAGTTTGATGGTCTTTAAGGTCCCTTCCAACTCAAACCATTCTTCAGTTCTATAATTCTAAAGTTTTGCCTGCTGTTTTCTTTGGAAAAACAAAGCTGCATTCCCCCAGCAGCTTTTTGCATTTACCAGATTCTTTCCTATTATTGAGAAACATGCATGGCCTCCCCAAAAGTACACAGCAGAGTCACACTGGAATGGTTCAGGCGTCCTCTCTGATTGAATGTTGTATTGTCACCCATTATTACTCAAGGCTAGTCATAATATACATTAGCATTCATAAAGTTGGAACCTATTCAACCTGTCCACCCAGTAGCTGACTAACTGGACATTATTACTTGAAAAATAAATCTCACAAAAAAAGGAAAATAACCTGAGTACACTGAGTAACCCACCCTATGCCTTTATTTTCTCAAACATAAGCAGTACTAATACTGAATAAATTAACAAGTATTTAATCTGTAACAGCTTCTAAGCTTCTTAGAGAACAAGAACAGTGAAGACTTCAAAATTATTATTATTTTGCACTTTCATAACTGAAAGCAAAACTTTGAACGGGCAAGTATTTTCTACTAGTTAGAGGCAAATTTTTGTTATTCCTTTAAATAAAAACAGTGCTGTGTGCTTCAAGGGGAAACAAGTAACAGTAACAACAAGCTGTTTAGCACTTCTGTGCCAAATGCTCACAAGAATACTGAACACAGAACTGTGGCCAGTCAGAAGAAGACCTAAGGACACCTAAAGGGAAAGACTGATGTCTTTCAACCACTTTGATCGATATTGAAGAGAACAATTCCTATCCCAAGATGTTGCTTACACGGTGCTCCAGTCTGTTTAGATGCAGAGGGGAACCAGGTTCTAAAACATTCCCATAAATGAGATTAAGGCACAAGCAAGGCCAGATGCTGGATCCCAAAATGTTAATTCAACTTTATTTTGTAACACAAAAGAGCAGAGAGAAAGCAGGATGACAGAGAAGTGGGAAAAGCTAAGGGTAAGTGTTAAAAGCACAGGACAGGAGTTCCCAGCATCACAAAGTGCCGCTGGCTTGCAAGCTGGTAGATCTCTGCTGGGCTTCTTCCCTGGTCACCTTGGAACCTCCGAGGAATGAACTCAACCTGCAGGGTTACAGGGTGGCAGCAGCCCCCACAGGAGTCCCCAAACAGCCCCCCAAAGTCCCCAGGCACAGCCCTAAATACCCTCGCCGTGATACCCCCAGTATCTGAGCAAAGTCTTCACCAGTACCTGAGCAAAGGTCGCCCGGTACCAAGATGGGCCCTGATTCCCCAGCCTCCAAGCAAGATCCTGCCTGGCACAGCTTATTTGGGAGAGTAAGTCCTTGCCGTTTTCTTGATTGTAACAACTTTTAATCTTTTTTTTTTTTGCTCCTCTTGCTGGCGTGCTGGGTGCCTCCTGGAGCTTTTGCCAGTAGCTCGGCTCCTACAGCAGCCCAGCCTTTTTTTTAGCTCCATGCCGGAGACAATGGCGAAGCAGACTCCATCTTTTAGCCAGTCCATTACACCGGGGCTCTGCTTCCAGAAAGTGCAACTCAAGTTTGTACGAAAGCTAGCGGGAAACCAGAAGCACCCGACTGACGAAAAAGCCGCGCTCCCGACACGGGAGCCGGGGGGGAGGATGCCAGGTTGACGCTGAGAAACCTTTAGGCGCCGCTCAGATTTATCCCTGCTCTCCCAGGTCGGCAGCGCTGGGGTGGGTCTTTTAAAAGGTGTCGGAGGAAGCGCGGCCGAGACACCGCAATCCCCACCCACGGCCGCCCCCGCACATCCCGCACACCCCGCACACCCATCCGCCGTCCCGGCGCTGCCGCTGCCCCGGGGCCGCCCCCGCCGTCCGCTGCGGAGCCGCCTCGTCCCGTCCCGTCCCGTCCCACCCCATCCCGTCCCGTCCCGTCCCGTCCCGTCCCACCCCATCCCGTCCCGTCCCGCCCGGTCCTCTCAGCGCTTCCCCCGCCACCGCTTCCCCCCCGCTCCCTCCTCCTCCCGCCCCGCTCCATCCCGGTGCTCCGCGCGTCCTTCCCCGTGGGCTGGGTGCACGGCGAGAGCTCGCGTTGAAGCCCCTGGGAGAACAGACCTAAACCAAAGGAACCCCGAAAGCACACAGCGGCCGCCACCACCCCCAGGCAGTAAATCCCCGTCCTGACCTGCCGGGCTCTAAACTCTTCTTCCAGACGGATAGGGGTTTTTTTGGGGGGGGCTTCCCCCCACCCCTCTCCATCCTCAGGAAACATTTACATCAGTAGCTACAAAGCATTCTCCGGTGACTGATGAGAAGTTCTGAAAAGAGCTTTGTGTTCAATTACGAAGAATATTCGCTTTAGACGTAACGTATGTCCCATATCAGACAACGCTTTGCACGACAACTACCCCACAGGACAAAACGTTCTGTGTAAAAGCTTTAACTCTGTGGCTCGTTTGCTTTCAGAGGAAGAGGAATTTGGTGACACAGTGACCAGATCTGGCTGTGGGGAAGTCTCATTACACCTTCAGAGCTCTCACAACGGCCCTCAGTGAAGATGTCATCCTATAGGAGACCTTTTAAATTTAGTGAGCCACAGAAATTAATTTCTTCAATATTCTTTGGAAAAATGCACAATCCTATAGGTTTTTCACGTGGAATGCTCAATAAGAGATCCTACACAGCCATTGCTCCAAACCAACAGTACAATGTGAGCATACATGGATTAAAATACAATTAAAATCCTAACTGCCTATTTGAACATTTATTGCAACACTCCAGATCTGGCCACTCCTCATGAGCAAACTTCCTGTAGGTTCAGAGAGAACAAGACTGTATACCCTGCTCCAAAGAGCAGCAATTCCCACCCAGTAGGAAGCAGTGGGCAGTCTTGGAAAAGAGCAGCAGATTCGTGTCACAGATGAAATGTAGAGATTAGAGGATTAAAATTTTCTATCATGCGGTGCACACTTGGATATTTAATAATTACATAAATGAGGAGAAAACATTTGGAAAAGTGGGTCTTGAGCTTCTACTGGTATGACAGAAAAGATGTGCCATCAAAACAGGTCTCTCTTTTTAAGGAAAAAAATCCTTAGGGAAACAACATCTTGAGCAGTGGCACCGCACGGTACAATCTGTATTAACTTGTCATAATATGTTGGTTCCGTTGGTATGAATTTTTGATTGAATAATAAACTAAATATGAGCTTCAGAATACACAGCAATACCAAAGTGCTTGGAATACAGCACTTGGGGAGCACCTCTGATGTGGATTTTCTGATTCTTCTTGCTGAGATGTAAATGATTGCCAACCTCAGTTGCAGGTCACTATTTTAGGGCTTACCCATATTCTTCTCTTGTAAATGACAAATCATGGCACTACTTTTAAGAATGCACACACACTCAAATTCCTGAGAAAGGGTGATTCACTGTAAAGCTATCTGTGATCTGAATGAATGGGGGGAAAACCCCCCAAAACCCCAACACTCATTCAGATCTGGTTTGCTTCATTTAATTTACAGTGGGGTTTTTTTTCTTTTACTTCTTAATTTCAGTCATATTTTGCTTTCTGTGAGCAAGTACTGAGTCCTATTTTTTCTGGGGAAAACTCTGCACATCGTTAGCATTGCTTACTCTTTTTGTACTTCCTTGCCTTTAGTAATTTTATAATTTGGGACATTTACGATGCTTGTTATGGCACCTTCTGTGTTCAGGCTCAGAAAAATCCTTCTCACCAGCTTCCACAGAGCGCAATCTGGCTATCACTGGTCCAAGTGGCGGCATGTGGTGGCAGTGGGGAGAAAAGGTGGCAAGCTGCCAGCAACAAGTCCCATGGAAGCAGTTCTATACACCTGGCTCTTCCATTTTATAGAGTATCCACTTTATTCTGACGATGCTCCAGAAGTACAGAGACATTTTCAAACCAAATATTGCTTATGCCTTTCCCCCGGTGAACTGACTGGACGTGCAGTCCATGAAACTGGGGTTTAGAGCACGTGGTGCAATGACAGCTCTCAAATGAAATGTGTGTCGTGGCAGGACTTTCACTTCTGAATAATCATTCACCAGACAGAGTGATTAAGTGTCGGGCCTCATGATTGTTTTAGGAGCTTATTACTTGTATCCGTGCATATAGCAGTAAGGGAGTTTTTTCTTCTCTGCAGTGCTAAGAGGAAAAGCAAAACTGATTTGGGAAATAGCTCACATATATGGATGTTAAATATTAACATGATATGCTTGATTTAGGAATCTTTGGGTATTTCTAACATTTTGTTATAGTCCAACAGATTCCGGAAAGTTTACAGACAGCATTTCTCAGTGGAAATAAAAATTATTCTGCCTTTGCAGCAAGTGTAAATCTTGTTTCCTAATGTTAACATCACATTTCAGTAAATAAGAGATCGAAGAGTCTTTTTTCATTGTTTCAGCATATTATCGGTTTGCATTGACATGGGTGTTTTTAGTATGTCTTTGCACACCATTAATCACTGCTTGCGATGTGTTTTATCACATACTCTGGACCAACACAGAAAACATGAATAAAATCATAGAAAAAAAGAATGGCCTGGATTGGAAAGGACCTCAAAGATCACACCTTCCACCAGACCAGGTGGCTAAAAGCCCCATCCATTGCCTTGAACACCTCCAGGGATGTGGCATCCGCAACTTGCCTGGGCAACCTGTTCCAGTGCCTCACCACCCTCACAATAATTTCTTCCTAATACCTAATCTAAACCTACTCTCTTTCAGTTTGAAGCCATTCCCCCTTGTCCTGTCACTGTATGTCCTTTCAAAAAATCCCTCTCCATCATATCGGGGAAAATATCGGGCAAAAGTGAGAAACTAGAGAGCGAGAAACGTTGAACTTACTGGAGCTGCCTCTAACAGCCTCTCTTTTTTTTCATTTTCTGAGGGGAGTTGGGGAAGAGAGAGAGAGAAGTCATGGAGTTCAGCACACGGCTTTCCAGCTGTAAATCCCCCAAATTCGGGGGAGCAGTCGGACGGGGGGTGGTGCAGTACCTCATCCCTCCACCGGAGGGAGACACCGCCGCCGGCCCCTCCGCAAGCCCCGGGCCCGTCCCTGCATCATCATCATCCCTCTCTTCCCAACACGAGGGCTTCAAGCACGAAGCCTTCGCACGAAATTACAGCTAAAACAGCCCAGTAAAATATCAAATAATCTGCCTAAGAGGATCCTAAAGACACGAGAAGGACTTTGCCGGGTAACGGTAAAATTTCGCGGGGTTATCCGAGCTTTGGTGCGCACGCAAAGCCTTAAAGGGATTCGTGTGAATAACACCAGGAAGGTCTAAGCTTTTTAGTTCCACGGAAGTGGAAAATCCCACTTCAGGTTTCTGCACTCATAAGTCTCCTCATAAATAGGAAAGAGGGGAATGAAGAGTTTTGGTTTTAAACAACTGAAGTGCTGTCTGACTGAAATACAAGTGGGATGTAACACTTAAGTAATGATTCTTTTGGTGTCAAGTTAAGCCCTGCAATACATGTATAGAGATCTTACTAAATGAGTAACAGCAGGGTCTGCCCTCTATCTAGTAATAAAAAGCAAAACCAAAAATCTGTGGTCATCACCTTCTAAAGTTAATAAAAACAACCTATGAGAAAATGTATAGTAAAACACTTCATTATAAGAAACATTCCATTAAAATAATGTGATTCAACAAGTCTTCCTTGAGATTTTTCTTGACATTCTTAAACTGATTTTATTTATGAAAGGTGTTAAGAACTCACGTTCTTGCAAGTTTACTCAGTACAGCTGTGGAACTCTAGTTTTTCTTCCACTGCTCTGAGGAAAATTAAATATTGCAGATGTTATTCTCTATAAAGCCATACAGACAGAATCAGTTCCTCATTTGCAGATTATTTATTTTTTCCTACTGAGCTTCAAGGCAGTCATGATCATTAGGTAATGCTGGGGTTAAATAAACATGACCTATAGTGATCACAAGTCAGACGTTAATTGAAAGAGAGATTCTCATATCAATAAGTGAAAATCTAGGAACTGCACTTGAAATACTTCCAAAAAATCCCCTCTCTTCAGGAGCAAACATCTTAAATACACAAATGAAAAGGCAGACATATACCTGAAATTATATATTCCCTATCTTTGTGATATATTTTAACTAGACAGGCTGCCTTGCCAGGAGTTTAAAGCTGCTAGTGATTATAGACAATCAACAGGTTAAAGCCCATGAATTAATGGAAAATCCCGAAAACTGAAAATGACAACAACAAAAAAAATAGATGGAAAAAAAAATGAGGAAAAGAAATAAGTACTCTGAAAGTTTTATATTTACCCATTCCAGTTTCACATGTCCCCTCTCTCTCCACACTAACACCCATAGGTAAGGAGATGAACTGCCTGGATCCTGCACATGCACTGGCAGCATTTCTGCAGAGTGCAGCCCAGACAAGCCCACCTGCCAGGAATTCCCCTAAGGACAACTGCAAGAAACTTAAGAAGATTTGCATCCATTCATAAAAAGATCACACTGCTTAAGACAAAGCCAGTGTGGGACACGCTTACAGGAACCTGGGGTACTTTCAGGGCTAATTACCTCATTTCTCCAGAGCCCCAAGCCTATTCAATTCCCAGTTCTTATTGGAAAGGGGAGCACTGAACACCAAGTGTCTCATTGCTGGCCCTCATGCCAAGTAGATCACTCACTTCAGAGCAATCCCTGCAAACCAGAGTCATTATTGCCTGTTTCACATCACTAAGCTCTCCTCACCTCATGAAACCTCTCATCCTCCCATCCCATAAAAAGGGAAAAAAAATATCTCTTAAAACCCTTTAGTAGAGAACTATTGCCAAAGAGTATTTGAAACTTAAGAATGCTCTCTGCACCATGATCTAGTACAAAAGCCAACTTCACAGCTCTTATCCCTTGCTGTAAATACCCTGATACCACCATCAACCTCTCTGATGCTTCCCATGCTTCTTGCAATTATCCTCCCAGTCCATCACTCCAACCTGGGTGTTTCCTCAGCCTTGTACATGATAAAGGTCCACTGTAGTCAACAAGAACAGTCCTCCACCTACCCCACTGCCCCATTCCAGAGTCTCCCCCCAGATTAAACCTCAGCACATCTGAGCATCTAAGCACCAGTTGTTGTTATAAGACAATACCAACATCCCACAGCCAGCTTGTCGCAAGTAGAGACTTTTTAACAATGAGAAAAGAGAAACATCATGAAATTAAAAATAATTGGAAAGTCATGCATCTTTATTCCTCTCGTCTACAGCACCAGCATCTTATGAAACACTGCATATAGTGATAGAAAAAAAGAGTACATCTCAAACAGTTTTTATTTAAGCACTGCAAGATATTCAACAGGAATATTGTTACCTGTAAAACATGAAAATTTGTATGAGAGCTTTTCAAAATAAAGTCTTCTACAACTCTAGACCACGAGGAGTTTTTCAGAGCTACAGGTGGGAGCTGGGAACAGTTGTCTGTCTCTGAACACATCTTTTATCACAAGTCATTCAAAATTTCAAAGAGTATCTTAGATATTTTAGTGAAGAAAAACTACACTAGGGAAGAACACTTTGCATAGCTGTGTTTAAAGAGAAGGGAGTGTGGCATAATAGCCAGGCATAAAAACACCTAAGGTCCACTTTTATCTGTCACAATCAACAGATATTTTTATTTTGTACTTTTTCATTCGTAGTAAGGGTACTTATTACTGGTTTTCTGCTTTGTTTCCTTTCTCAGACATTATATAACAGGAATTAAGGAATCAGAGCCCTTTGAAGCACCCTTAGCACGTAAGAAGACTCCTTCACCAGGTTCTTATATACAAATAATGAAAGAAAAGGTGCATGAAACCAAGAGTGCTGCACAGTCCTCCTCCCCAGTCATCTGTTTCTGTCCCTGCTACCTGTGTTTGGGGTCATGGCCAGCATAGTTGTAGCTACTTCAGCTTTGCACATCTTTGGGGTTGTTTTTCTTTAAAGACATATTTCACTACCAAAACGTACAAAAGCAGCTACCCAAGGCTGAACGCAGTTTTTATCCTGAACTGTTGTACTGGTCCTTTAACTTTTTATGACTCATAGTTTAAGTATTTGGGAATTCCCCTCTAAATATGAGTTTGACACACTTGCATTATAGAAAGTTATTTTATTCAAAAAGTAACAAAATGCAACATTCATGCAATACCCAGGACTATATTTAACACCACACAATTGGTCTTTTTTTTTTTTTCTTTGCAATAAAGTTTCTAATTAAAGACAGATTTAAAAAAAAAAAATCAAGAACAAGACTGAATAGCAGAAGTAGCAGCATTGAAAGAGACAATCACAATGTTACACACCCAAGCAAGTCAGGAATATTTTTTTAAAACTATTCAAACAATGTAAGGCTGTTTATCTTCTCCCCTGGACCCCCCGGTCACATTAAAGAGTATACAGCTTCTCTCTTACCTGTGTGTGTGCTGAAGTGCCTTCTTGGTGGGCTGACTACTCATCAGGGATCCCCTGACTAAAGCCTGGAAAAAAATGAAAATAAAATCAGCTGACCACCCTCGCTCACTGGCTTCCAGCTTAAATACTCCTCTCCACAGCACTCTGTCATGTGAGGCAGGACAGAACCAGCTGTCATTGCTTCAGAAAAAGGGAAACGGGCCCCTCCGTTTCCACCTCCTTCCTTCCTCCTCTCTCACTCTTTCCTATCTGTCCCTGCCTCCGACCTCCTCCCTTTCTCGTTCTTCCACTTTGCTCATTCACTGCCCGCCCGGCTGGGGTCTCCCAGGGGAAGCCGCATTCCACAACGCACAAGCATTTCCCCTGCATCTCGAGGTTTCTCAACAAGCTGCCTACACACTTCTCTGGGGGGAAAAACCAAAAAAAAAAAAGGGAAAAAAATGAGAAAAAAAAAAAAAGGGGGGGGGGAAATTGTAAATCAGAGAGAAACAGAGAAAAGGCACCACATTCCACAACCCTCAGTCAGCCCTGGCAGACTGCGAGGCATTTTCAGTCACACACACACAGAGCACAAAATGCATTAGTCAGAGCTGAAAGACCACACACTTTGTACCACTACCACGCTAACAGGGAATGGTCTGAGCAGAGCTACAGGAAAAAGGAAAGGAGGGGTTCCTATCGGTGCTTCCATTTCGCAGGGGGGCAGCCACCTAAACGTCCGAAAAATTCGCAGGAAAAGGCCCAAAGTTGGCATTCCCGGCAGAAACAATGCGGGCGTGGGCAGCAGGGAAAGCTCCCCGCTCGGGGAGCGCGACCTTTGCCCAAAGGACTCCCCCTCCAGCGGAATGTGTCATTCCAAAGACTGCAAGACATTTATCTAAAAAATCAGAACTTCTATCTCCCCGACGGTTCGTTCATAGGAAACACAAGCCCAGAAAAAGTGAAAGTAATACAGCGTGATTCAGATTCCCCCAAACCACATGCACTTTCAATTCAAACTTCTCTCTTCTTCGCTGCTCCTTACAGTTCTGCAGCTGCATCCATCTATATTGGAGTTTTTGCTTCCTCTACTTACGCGGTTTCAACCCTCGGGGTACGCGGGGAATCTGATCAGCCAGAAGCGAGAGGAGCGTGAAAAAAGCCCTCCGTCCCTAATCCGAGTGACCTAATCGCTCATCTATCTGCTCACTGCTTCCGCCCCCCACACGCACTTATCCATCGCCCGAAGGCGTTTCAGGAGTACGTGTAACAGCTTAGGAGAAAACCCCCCCTTTTAAATCACATCAGAGAGAGAGAGAGAAGGGAGCTCACTGTGCCGGAGCACATCCTTCTGTCCGCTGAGAACAGCACCGCGGAGTCCCCAGCCCCGAATTCCCCGCCCTGCAGTGGGACCGTCCCTTTAACACCCCGACCAGACTCAGGGGCTTAAGTCAGAGTCAGAAAAGTATAGGGAGGCGGGGGGGAAGACGAGGGAGAACCCTTAACTGCCTGCACTGGAATTTCTCCTAAGGAAAGTCCGTGCTTTAATGTAAGACTGATACTAGATACCACAAAGAAACTTTTATTTCTGTACGCACATGACTCAGATACATTTTCTGTGTGGGTTATGCGGTTATGTTATGTTTCATCTTTAAAAACTGTTTCAAAGAGACCTTTAAACATTAGTTTTGAGAAAAACTTGATGTGTTTATGTACAGCGAGTGTTTTTAAGCTGCCTTTTATTGCACAACGCTATATACAGCAGAGACACTATTGTCTATGTTTTCATTATAGATATAACCTGCATCTAATACTAAACACAATAATCTGTAAAAATATTTATTTTAAATTACAACCCTAAATAGTTCCCAGAAAAGTAAACAAACTGAACCCTTCAGCAAAAACAGATCCTCTTAGTTATAATATTATTATTTGTCCTCTTCTCCCATTCTCTTGATTTTGAAAATACGTTTAGTCACTGTGTTATTGACTTAGATGCACTGGTTTATAAAACAAATGGTAGCTGCTGTTGTGTGGTATTTCAGCAGGGGAAGGCTGTCCAGAACTGCCTCGGAGACTGAACACTGTCGCCATTATAACAAAAGCATTAAAATGAATAATTCATGAGCAGAGGAAGTACCCTACTATTAAAAGGCACCGACTATTTCATGAATTGTCCAAAAGCTACCCCTTTTACTGCCCAGTTCCTCTAGCTACTTAATCATTCTTAATTTTTCTAAAATAGCATCAAGTAGTAATTAACAGAAACACATGGACCAGTTGTAGGAGACTTTCCTGAGGAGTAAGAAATGAAAGCTACAAAAGGAGCCAGAGAGAGGAAAAAGGAAGAGAAAAAAAAAGGTGTTTATATTTGATCTTGGATATATTAAGGAAACAAGACTTCAAACTTCAAGAGGCTTTTCCAAATTGTGCTTTGAAATCCTGAAAGGGAAGAACATCGATAAATGCAAAACCAAGGGCAATCAGTTGGTCCTTTACCTTTATCTGGTGCCTTCCTTTTCAGGATCCCAAGGCATCATGACAACACTCAGGGACTGAAAAGCCTCCTAACAAAGTACTTACAGAACTTAGCTCCTGTTTATAGGTGCAGAAAATAAGGCCTCAAGAAGACTGAGGCAAGAATAGAGCTTCATCCCTCAGTTACCAGTCCTGTGCCCAATAAAAAGAGCAACTGCCTTGCTTTATACTAACAAGCATCACAAGGTTCCACAGTCTTGTGAGATTTAACCTAATAAAATGAACAGTGGTGCACAGGCATCTTCTGCAGGGATAGAGAAATTATTCGAACCATTAACTCAACATTACACCAGAAAAATTTACAAACTTACATGTTGAACGACATATTTAAAGAATTTGACCTAGAATAGCAAAGTATATCTGCTCATATTTCACTGCTGCAGGAGACACACACACTGTGCCTGGAAAGACATTTATTTATAATATCCACTTTCAAACGTTTCAAGACATCAAAAATTGATACACTAACATCAATAAACTTATCAGATTTCATTTGAATCAACATCTAGTTCTTGAAATTCAAGAAACTGTACCTCAAAGACATTTTGCTCAAGGGACAGTATTCCACAGTGTTGAGCAAAAGCCATGCTAAGGATCCTTACTTACATGAGTCACTTCTAGGTGTCCTACTCTCTTGCACTACTGGGATAAACTCGAACACAATCCTTATTCCAAGGCTCTCATTGCAACAAGTTCACCAATTATGTGGTAGCAAACCATACTCAAGCTAGAACATTATGGATGGAATGAAAGCATTAGGTGTAACTTTGCAAGACCAGACACTGGTACTGGTCAACTTACTGATTCTCCTGGATTTTTATTTTTAAACCAGTCAGCTTTTTTGCAGAACTTTGGTAGCCACATTTCTGATTGTGACTTTGAAGTTTCTAATTCTCAGAAGAACCTGTTTGGTTGGATATTTTTTTAGTCCAGTAGTACCTATCTGAGAAAGATGCTCTCTTGATCCAGTATTAGATGGATGACTTCTGTTCTGCCAAAAATCTGCCCTTCAGTCAGCTCAGAGCTGCTCCCACAGCAAGCCCTTGCAGGAACAGGGAAATGCTTTTTAACAACTAGAACAATCTGTACAGTTAACCATATTTTTAGTCTGCAGCCCCCAAGGAACTGTGAGGAGAACTGAACTACAAAACAAATATAAAAGAACCCACAACTGGTTGTTAAATATAATTAATATAGCCCAGCTCACAGCAAGCAGGTTTATTGTAACTAATCAACTATTTCAGTACAAATGACCATTAATGGTTTGATAACTTTTAGCAGGAAGAAAGAGGAGGAAAAACCACAAAGTACTTAGGATAACTATTCCAAAGATGGAAGAAGTTCACTCTTTTTAAAACTTCACCCAAAAAACGCAGTTAAATAAAGAAGAAATGTTATGAACACTTCAAATTTATCTTCTTCAAAATATTTATCTTGAGTCAACTCTACAGGAGAAATTCTCTGTTGATGTAAGCCAGTATTAGTGTGTTCACCAAACCAGCAACCTCCATCAGGGCATCCAGACTACTGAGTCACTACCTAAACACAAATGTTCCAGAGAACAAATAGCATCAAATAAACTATTTCAGAGAAAACAATGCCAGAAGTGAGTTTACCACTAATTCTACTTGCAGGTAGGTTAAAACCCCACTCCCTCCCCCAAACCAAACCAGTAAGGAAAACAAAAATTCTTCATGTCCATAAACAGATGAAAATTTTGAAATGCAAGGAATTTAATTAACATTTTGCTGCTTAGACAAGCCAGAAAAGTTGGAGAAGAGACTTTAGTACAGTAGTAACAATCAGATTCACACAGTGTTCAATATGAACAACTGTCTCAAAACTACATTATGGCCACAAGCAAGAATGAATGGAATTATATATAAATACACATCAAAGTAATGAAAGTCAAGTGAAAAAGAAAAAAAATTAAATACATCAGAGGGAAAAGAACTGTCCAACTATCCAAGAATAATCCATCTGATCGCAGTGTGCCAAAAATCTGGTCAGACAATGTGTACAAATCTGTATCTAGGAGCTTAGGTAAGTTTAGAAAGTTTTGGTATTTGTTTTGCCTGCAGTGAGAAGACTTATATTCCAGAGAGCAGTGATGTTCTGCCACAATAGCTGTTGTTTGCTGGTATCAGCAAGCACCAGAGTTGTGTAGACTGTGCAATGCAGCACGGAAACGGGAATTATTCATGGACCTTTCAGCACTTCAGAGGAACAGTACGACTATTAACCATGGCTTTTAAAATAAAAAATAATTTAGGCACTAACATAAATAATTGTTATAAATAAAAAATAAATTTTAGAAGACATTTTGAGGGCTAAATAAGCAGAGGCAGATGGAACAGTAGTGAAGGGCAGCAGAACAGTTATTTCCACCTTCTTTATTGTTAAAGAAATACCATAGAGGAGGTCTCTCACCTCAACTGCGAGATCACAGAATAGCTGAGGTTGGAAGAAAGCTCTGGAGGTCGTCTGGTCCAACTTCCCTGTTAAAGCAGGGCCACCTACAGACCATTCCTGAGGGAAATCTCCAGAC